AAGCCACTTTATGCAGGAACCGACTCAACGTCTCAGGTGGATCCCTCGCCCTCTCCCACGCAACACCCACTTGGCCTTATCTCGCGCTTCTCATCCGATATTGTGCATCCATCCAGTCCATCCTGCTCGACCGTCCGTCCGTCGTCACATCATCTCGCGCCAAAGCCACCTGCACTTGGGCCAGTGGTTTACGTACCCAGCTCTGCTAGTCCCGTCCCTAGGCGCTCCAGAGGCCCTTGTCTAGACCCCGACCCCCCATCGCCAGCCATCTCTGCCTCTTGGGACGGACGACGTCCGTAGTCTCAGACGCTATAGCCATGGCCAAGCTCCACTGATCCACGCTCTAGCCCTGCTGAGAGAAGCACCAACGCCAAGCGAGCATCAGAACGTGCCCTCTGAAGCTATTCGAAACCACCGAAATGCAGTGACCATACGGCCCCAGAGCCGGACCTCAAGTACGGTGGGCGGTGGAACTGCTAGGCCAGGCATCTATCAATGCCTAATACCTGCCTACCTTGAAGATCCTCGCTTCAGACGCCAGCAGCACGGACCCTAATCATGTCCCTGCTTGCCTGTCAATCAACCAACCACCATGAACGGGCCAACCAGCCAGCCAACACCAGCCAATTCTCGGACCCTGAGATTATCTCACCCAACAGCTAAGCTTTATGTACCCTCAACTTGAAATCACCCAATTCAATGGGACCCACGCTGCTCCCCATTGTCTTCATTGAAGTCTTATCACCCACCAGCTAGCATGACATGGGTCATGCATGAACGATTCCTTGCCAGTACCCTCAATGATGAAGTGCTTTTGCCACCGTGGTCCCAGACCATCAAGCACGTTTCTCAATGCCGTATTATGTATTCAAGCTTTTCGACCCCATATTCGTAACTTGACGCTGACGAGTCAGTCGGTCGGTCCCGCTCCTCCTCTTGCCTATTCCATTCCACGACAACAGGTACAGTCAGACACGTACTTTTGTACGTATGCAGACTGCGCCAGATGGCTGCGGCCATGCAGCAACCCCAAAGGGCACCATTTTTTGGCATCTGTGGGGGCATCGAGACTTCCAAGTTCCGCGTCCATGGTTATGGCATGGCACCCGACATCGTGGGCTTGCTAGTCCTAAACCTGGGAGGCATGCCCGACTAGAGCTGAAGCCGTCTCTCGCCTCGGGCTAGCACCCCAAGCAGGTATGGGCCATAATCTCAATATTCCTAGCCCGGCATTTGCGACCTGTAGGGGTTTCATCCGGAATCCTTGCTCCAGGCTGCAAGGTTGCAGGGCTCCTGAAACTTCCTCTTTCCATTCTAGGAAGACCATGAAGGGAATGAGATCTACGACGTTCTTTCCAACGGGCCGGGTAAAGACCCGTCCCGCCTCGCCAACCAGCCAATCTCGTTCTGGTCGGCGGTCATCACGGTGAGCGGCCCCAAACAGGATCCAAGGTCCGTCCTAAAGTGGCATGCCACATGCCTCATATGCACCACCCTGGCCCAGCCGTGATGCCGGTTGCCACCTGGGACATAACCAGCTTCCTATCTGAGCTCCCTCACCCACGAGGTAGCGACTAGCTTGGCGTCTTCTCGAAGGCGCCGAGAATGCTTCCAAACTGGACCCCAAGGCCACGGTTTTATTGCATCACTTCGCTTCTTGTGTTTCGGTGGGACAATCCAGCACCTGTCGCGCGGGCAGCAGAGTTGCTGTAACGCACCCCAGTTTCCCGCCCTCGTACGCTGTCCAGATAGCCCTGCACGTGTCTCCCAGCTAGCATCCAGAGATTTTCTTTTTCGGTAGGTTTTCACCAGTAAACTAGTAGCTGTATGGCGCAACCGGGTGGCTTCCGCTTCGCAGCCCCCAGCTAGCCTACCAGACAGGCCGGGGCGAAGGTCCTGGTGCAGAAGCTATTCCCAAGTACCGCTAGACGATGGACGCCAATTATAGGCCCCCACCGTCTCCCAATCTCTAATCTGTTGACCAACCTTGATAGTCTGGCCAGAGCGCGATAGAGCGTGATAATGTATCCAGCTAGTCAGCACCGGCCAATCACGCAATGGTGCCGTATTCTAGGACTGTCAATCAGGTGGCGAGGACAGTAGGCTCGGCTGAGAATTTTGTCCCGCACCCACGTCCTGGTCTAGTGTCACACAAAACTGGGTGTGACATCTAGCCTGGTGTCTTATCGATAATCATCGTGAGATACTACGGAGTACAGCCGACACCATTGATGTTAAACCAGACGACAGCTTTAGTTGACGCCTCCAAAAGTCCCTGCCGATGCAAACCGCTATCCAGACGGCAACGCGGGTTAGAAGGACCGGCTTCTCATCCAACGTACCGGCCATCTCTCTCTTTGCCTGAATGGCTGGCCAGACATGGTCCTGTCTTGCTACGTAGCTGGCGGTTACCTATCAAGCAAGTTCTTGATGGAACCTGCCTGAGCGTGAGTTGTCAGTCATGTCTCTGCACTATACTGCATCTACTCTTTTGTTGTCAGTTCAATTTTTTTTTCGCAAGAGAAAAATTTTCCTCCCGATCCTCTGATGCTCTCCGATGGGTGAAGCGGTTTGCCGCAAAACATGGTGAGACATGGATCGGATGAGGTTATGACGGCCGGCAATGCGCACCGTTACGACATGAATTCTACCAATGCCATACCATCTCAGCCTCAAAAATATGTTACACGGAGGGACTCTTTGGGTCTAATCGGTGCGTACTTGGGCACCTTACGCTTGGCTCACGTGTTAGCCATTTACGAAGCGTCTACATCTCAACTCCAGAGCCACGGCTCTGCCCGGGACCTGTTTCGCGGGCAAAGGACTCCGAACAATTCTTGTGCGTTTTCCTTTTGGGGTTTTGCATCTGGATCGCTTTCCTCCGCCAAGGTCTCTCTTCCTGCTTCACTGGGGCCCTGGGCCGTGTGGGTAGAGTTCAGAGTGCATCATCCGAACACTGTCTCAGGACTATGTCTTGGTATACACACCTACCCACTGCTCACATGTAGGGCATCCGAGGCGTGGGCATGTGTTTCAGGCATAATGCACGGCAAGACGACCTCCGCGATGAGTGTTTGAGATCACGCGCCGGCCAAGTAGCTTTGGCCGCGTCATTTCCTGTCTGTTTGGAATCTCATCGTCCACGTATAGTGGGTTTCGGGGAAACAGTTAAGCTTCTGACTGAGCTTCATCTTGGCAAATTCTCACCCGGTGGGAGGGAAGGTTAAGGCTTGAGCATAGAGTGTTCCGAAAATGTTCGCTCTCCGCCAACGGACCGGCCGTCCGACTAGGGCCGATTGACATACATTCACATGCTCCCTTTGGTGTTTGTGTTCATGCATGATGAGTTACCCCCCGGCAGTTGCGATGCGGAATGGGACTGCCGGTGGCCTTCCTCCGGACAATACCTACAGGGTGGGCCAATGACGGTGGTGGTATACTCGCACACCCCTCTCTATTTTTGGTGTTTCAAGGACGTTTCGCCGCAGCCTGGCTCGTAGATGAGAAGGATGTCCAAGCACGGCTGGATCCTGGACCAGTCATGCACAAGCGTATGCGATACTGGTGTGGGTGGGAACGTCTGCCAGCTGTCAAGACGGTTTTAACATGGTCGCAGGGACACTAGCGAGATTCATGCCTGGCCGGCGCGGCTTGTTTGGTTGGTCCCTCGGGCCTGTGCGTGCCTGTATTCAGTCCTGGATCGCTTCGTCACTCGACGGGGGGAAACAGTCGTAATTTCGAATGCACCTCCAGCATGTTGTAGCAGTATCCGGTATACCAACTACGCACCAACTTCGCTTGGACCTGGTTCTCAATGCGCAGTCCCGAGGGTGGCGTCGTCGTGGGCCGCCCGTTGTTCTCCTCGTCTTGGCTGCATGTTAATTATGCCTTGGATCTGTATAGAATCTGTGGGGGGTCCCTCTTCGGTTATGCTCTGTGAAGTGATGTGCCCATCTATCTAGTGTGTATGTTGTGCGTCTCGCTTCAGTGAGGCCTTTGCAGTGACGACATCAAGCTCCTCCACGTCGGAGCAATTCTTGGCCTACCTTTGCATATTCATGCTGTGGTATTCTCGATGTGTTCTGCTGCGTGATCATGTTTTCTTCTGTGTGGTACGCACACTCCCTATTGTGTTTGCTGGTAATGGGCCGATTGTCATAGTCTGTATTGGAGGCATTGTGTATGCGAGCAAAAACCGGCTCATATAGGCTTTAGTTGCACCAATAAAGAGACACATCAACGCTTCGGCATGCAGGAAATCCCCATAATGCGTCACCTGGCTAGAGATATCGTATTTTCTATCTGAGCTATTTCCACTTGATCTGCAAACTTGCGGAATCATGAAAGCGAGATTAGAGACGAGGCACAACGCTCAGTGACGAAGGAGTCGAGAGTATAGGGTAGGTTAGGTCTGTTTGATCTGAGGCTTGCGTGTGTGGTGGTCCGAGGGCTTCGTGGCCCCGAGTCCTCAGCCACCCACTTTTTCGCCCGTACCAGCCACCCGAATTCACCAGCCACCCGCCCGGCGGCGTCCACGGACTCCATCACCCTTGCACCGGCTCAGGCCCAATGGCGCCGTTGCTGGCGGCGCCCAAGGGTCCTCCCAGTAACAGCGAGAGAAAAACCCAAGAGAAATTTCCTGTTCCTGGCGCCAAGAGCTAGATCGATGACGAACCCGTCACCGCAGCAATTGTAGGTGGTTGGGGGTTTGGAGGAGGGGGGGGTCTTGTGTTTCCTTCCCTGATATATGCTTCCCTTGCATCTGGACATACATCTGACCTGCATCATCTTCCCAAACCTCTCGCCAGCCCACACCACACCTACATTCCTGCCTCGTGCGACAACAAACAACCGCCACCCGAGGAATTATACTTTGGGCTTCCCCCATCACACCCCATCGGTAGCAAAGCTTCCTCCCTTCCTGTGCGAGCAAACACACCCCCTCCTCATTGGGACCGCCCCGTACGCCACCACCACGCACACACCGACACACCTCGACGATGCGGTGTCTCTGGCAGAACAGCCTCGTGGCCCTCGGGTCACTGGCGGCGACGGCAGTGGAGGCACAGACGTATAGCTCATGCAACCCTCTAAACTCAAGTACGTAACCACACACACACACATTAGCCCTGGAACCACACCTTTGCTGACCTGACGACTTGCCAGATTCCTGCCCCGCCGACACTGCCCTGGGCATGACCATCAACGTCGACTTCACGCAGGGGGCGGTCAACTCGTTCGCCGCCTCGGGCTCGCCCACGTACGACAAGACCAACGGCGTGTCCTTCACGGTGTCCAAGGGCGGGGACGCGCCCCAGCTCGTGTCGCTCTTCTACATCATGTTCGGCCGGGTCGAGGTGACGATGAAGGCGGCCCCGGGGGCGGGGATCGTGTCCTCGCTCGTGCTCGAGTCGGACGCCCTCGACGAGATCGACATCGAGTGGCTGGGCTCCGACGCCGGCGAGGTGCAGTCCAACTACTTCGGCAAGGGCCAGGTGACGTCGTACAACCGCGGGCAGTTCCACGACCTCGCGGACACGCAGTCCAAGTGGATCACCTACACCGTCGACTGGACAAAGGACAAGATCGTCTGGATGGCCGACGGCACCATCCTGCGCACGCTGGCGGAGAGCCAGGCCGAGACGAACCAGTACCCCCAGACGCCCATGCGGGTCAAGCTCGGCGCCTGGGCCGGCGGCGACCCCAACTACAACGCCGCGGGCACCGTCAAGTGGGCGAGGGGCCCGACCGACTACACCAAGGGCCCCTTCAGCATGATGGTCAAGAAGCTCGTCGTCACCGACTACTCGACCGGCAAGCAGTACAAGTACGGCGACACCTCGGGCGACTGGGAGTCCATCCAGGCCGTCGACGGCAAGGTCAACGGGAACATCAACAACAAGAATGCCGTGACCGCGACGGCGACGGCCGTGGGAAGCGTCTCGACCGGCGTCGGCATCCCCGTGGGGGGTATCGGCACCGACAAGGCTGCCACCGCCACGCAGACTGGCTGGCCTTGGTCTGCCACCGCCACATCGGCCGGTGCCATCCCCTCCGGCTGGTACATGACCTCGGAGGGCAAGATCATGCGCGAGGCATCTGGCTCCTCAGTCAAGCCGCCAGGGCTCTTCTGCGTGCTCTTGGCCCCAGCCCTCGGAACACTTCTTCTGGTCATGCGGTTGCTGTAGTAGCGTCGGCATGCACCTTTCATACATACAACAGCTACAATATCATATGGGAACCACGGCGCAACTTGATTTTATTAATAGAGAGGCATGAAAGCCATCAATATGGGAATGTCAACATATTGAAGCGACGACATGCTAGGCATATCACGATCATCGGACACAATGAACTTTGGGCTTGAGCACCACAGAATGGGCTTTCGAAATGCATTTTCGTTTTGGCGTTGGAACAGGGAAGGTTTCCTCAACGGGACCAAATGATTGAAAAGCGTGTCGAGTCGGATTTTAGACTACTGGGATAGATTTTTAGTATATTAGCGATATTATTGAACAAAACTGCTCATATTATACTACACATTCATCATATTCAATCAAACCCGGGGGCAGACACTGGACCTCAGCCCCCTTCGTTTGTTGGGATGGCATATTTACGAGACTAGCTATAATGTTCCCCAAAGTGACCTCCCACAGCATCACAGTTGCACTGGCACATGTGGCGGTGGACTCGGTTATTGGAGCTGAAACTTGTTATTGTTTGAAATGCGAAACTAGGTTACTAATGATAAAGAGATGCTGATCTAGCAAAAAAGACAAATGCCTTCCCCGTGATTTCCTATGACTTTCCAACTGTCATCGTCTATGAGTTGCCATGTCGCCATGGCGTCGTAGATTCTTGTTGAATGGGCCAGTGTGACGGGCCAACCCTGTAGTTGTTGATTGCTCTAGACCATTGTCAATGCTTTTCCCGCTGTTGCCCCCAGGGCTCTGCCATGCCACCACCCAAACGATTCCCCCAACGCTTTCCTGTCCTAACTTTTATAAGCAATGATTGTTATTACTGTAATTTGACGATGAACTGATAAGGGGTGGATCCATCGGAATCCACAGCCAACTTTTCCCTGAAAGGTTGAACAAAGGAAGTTTGCAGCTTAGAATGTCCAGTCCTCCGCATCCTCGACAGACTTGATAGCCCAACGGAACTTGTCTCGTAGGGTCTTGGAGAAGAACTTCTCGATAGGGACATCAAACTTCTTTGAGAAGACCACAGTCAATCGGGGGTCGATATAGTTCTGTGCCAGTTAGTACCAGGCCACGCATGATTAGATGACCAGGTGATGACTTACGATCTTTGAGGTGCCCAGCGCTACCTCTTTGTTCCCATCACGATCCTCAGCCTGGGTTTCAAGAGTTCTCACGCGTTCGTCGAACTTCTCAACGGCCTTGAGGAACTTGTCAACCGTAGCCCCTCTGCCTTCAGCCTCGACCTTTCCAGACTTGTTTTCTTTCTTGAACTTGGCCTCGAGCTCCTTGACAACTTGAAGTCGCTCCTTGAGATCCTTCTCAGGCATAGGCCTTTCCTTGTTTGCCTTGAGCTTCTCATTGTCCTTCTCGAACTTCTTCATGATCTTCGTTCGCTGTTCCTCGATGAGGAACTGCTGATGCTCTTGGATCCATTCCTGATCGAGATCCTCATCCAATTCAAACCAAGCAGCGCCCTTCTTCTTCTTGTATGAAGGATCAACGTCGAGGATCATCTTCTTTGTTCGCCATTTTTGATACCTGAGCCCCTTGATCTGTGTGCATGTATTAGCTGGTGTGTATCTTGCTGACGCACTACGCTTCACTTACCCTATCGCCGAGTTTCTGCATCTGTGCGTCGTGGCCTGCGCCGACTGTACGCTTGTGATTACAGAGAATGGCAACCTTTCTGTTGCAATCGTTGTACAGCTTCACCTTCTCAGCGACGCTTCCACGCGAGCGAGGATCATTTCCAAGCTCATTGAGAAGTTTTGCCATGGTGAACGAGGCATTGTAGGTACGGAAAACTTTCGCAGTTAGGCCTTGCATATAGCTGTTCAAATGCTTATTTAACTGTGAGGTCTGTATATCATAGTTAGCTCAAGATGGGCCTTTAGAAAGGTGTCGGTTCCGTCCAAACTCACATTCAGTCGGTCGAATAGGTCATCTCCATCAGTCTTGGGTGGCTTCTTGAACAGTTTGAAATTCTTAAAGACCTGGGCATCGACATGGACTGTCTCGTTATACCTGATACTGTCTTTACCGAGGAAGTCAAATGTGACCTGGTTCGGGGGCTGAAGAGTGATGTGCTCAAACTTGAGCGAGCAACAGCCCACAGTATCTGCCTCGTTTTCTGTGTCCTTCTCGTTTCCGGCTCTCAGGGCGAACTGGTCAATCAAGTACATGGCAGTTGCACGTTGACGATCCGCCATCACCTCGCTCTTGAGCTCCTTGCGGTAATCCTTGCGGATCTTGTCAATGTGCTTCTTGAGCTCGCGAGCTTTTTCAAACTTCTTGTAATCGCTCTGGCCCTTGACATCACTAGCCGCACCCAACATGACGTACTTGTAAGCCCCGTTGATGTTTTCCTGCCACATAGCAAGCCAAGTGGCTTTCTGATCATGCTGGACGGCCTTCCACTTATGACCTTTAGGCGGTTCTGGTATTTTGGCGTCCTTGCCAATGTTGATGGTGATTTGCTCGGGCAACACTCGAACCTTTACCCGACCAGTTTTGGGATGCTCACCACGGCCTCTGAACAGACTAGGGGGTTCGACTCTGAAGTTACCGACTTTCTGTTTGCGGCCGTCCCACATGCAGTGAAGATATGGCGCTTCAAGGGCCTCCTTCTTCGCCTTAGCAGCCTCCTTTTCATCCTTTGAGAGGTTCTTGGTTTTGGTGGCCTCTGTTTTGGCTGTCCACCACTCGGCCATCTTGGTGAAGTCGCACTTATCAAGGTCCTTTATCAACACCTTCTTACCCTGGGCGTCTGTGGCACCATACTTCTTGACAAATTCCGAAAAGTCATTGAAAAAATTCTCTCGGAATTTGGGGTTCTCCAAGTGGTGCGCAGAGCCAGGAGTCATCATTGACACCCAGAATGTGGCTACTTCTTCCGCTTCCACACTAAGAGTGACAGGACTTCCATCGTAGAGCATCTTGATGTTTTTGGGTAAGGGTTCATACTCAGGGGCAAAGAGAACGCCGTTGTGCTCGAGAGTTTGCCACTTGATGCTGTCGTCCTCGGGCTTCGGCGCATTCCACCATTCGTACTCTTCCTCTTCCCCGTCACTGGCCTCTTTCTTCTTCTCCTTGCTGGCAGCTGCAGCCTTCCCTTTCTTCGCAGCAGGTGCGGCCTTACCTCTCTTCGCGATGGGCGCGTCGGAATCGGACTCCTCCTTCTTGACGCCGTTAGACTTTCTTTTCGCCGCGGTTCCATTTGATTGACGCTTGCTGGCGGATGACTTGGCGATCGGAGCATCATCATCGGATTCATCCTTGATGGATTTTCGCTTGGCCTCCTTTGCCCGAATAACCTTGGCCTCCTTCTCGGCCTGCTTCACTATCGTGGCCTTCTTCTTCGCGAGCTTGGCACCGAGAGGGGTGTCATCGTCAGAGGAGTCGGGCAGAGCAGTCTCATCGTAGGATGGAGGCAGCTTCTTTGCCTTGGACTTGATGGGCTCGTCGTCCGAATCCGTCTCGACCTTTTGCTTTTTACGTTTTGTCTGTGTAGAAACATTAGCATGTCTCATTCTGCCTTGCGTTGAGCCCAAGGGCGCCTTACAAATGGCGCATCGCTATCGGAGTCGTCCTTGTATGCAGGCTTCGAGAGAGACGTCCGTGATTTTCGCTTCCCGTTGGTCGTAGGCGCATCGACTTCCATCGAGTCGTCGTCCCTAACTGGGCCATTACGGACGGAGAGTCCAGCAAGACCAGTGCCCTTTTTGGGGACCGCGCGATCTAGGGCCTTGTCTTGGGCTGCTGACACGGTGGATGCGGATACTAGCATGGTGGTAAGGAATCCTCTGGTCAGCGATGACTCGGTGTATTGAGATGAAGGGTTGAAGGAGGCGAAATTTCCTGAGTGAGAGAAAAGAGGAAGAAGGTAAGAGAGAAGGATGCGAGAGTGTGGTGGGTGTGCGGCATTGTATTGAGTGTTGTGTGAATGGCAGGCGCGCGCAACAATAGGCTGCTCATTGTGTTTGGCACCAAAGATTCAAAGTTTGCGCCGAGGCACATAGTGAGTGATGGCGAGTATATGGACAGAGAAGGGAGAAATTGAAAAGACTCACGATGTCCATTAGTCCGAGCCAGAGGCTGGTCGTCATCAGAACTGTCGTAGCTCATCTTGGATAGTCGGGTTGGGAGTGGTAGAGGCCTGGCGTGCCTGGCCGATCCTGTTGCTCGATTGCTGAGGAAGCGATGGACAAAAAAAGGCAGTCTTGTAAGAGAGAATGAAACCGGGATAGGAGTACGAAAGGGTGGTTTGAGGTGGGAAAACCACCCCAAGCGAGCCAACTTTGGAGATGCGGAGGCAATCGGAGCCTTGAAAATGTCGGAGAGAGGGATAAAAAGAGGGAAGGAAGAGTGAGAGAAGGAAGAAGAAGCGAGGAATGTACCAAGGAAAGTCAGTGAGGCTTGTTTCTACCCGGCGCGAACTTCCGCAGCTCTTGCCCATAATAAAATGTTATTAGTGCGACTGGGTTCTTGGTACTTGGCTGCAACACTGAGTACCTCAGGAGCAGCGCGGGCGGTACGTACCAGCGCTAGTGGATCCGTCGCTGACTGGTGGCCTGGTAACACTGGTGCCAGGTGGTAGGTACTGCAGAACGTACCCCGGTACCAGGACGGGCGGAATCTCCAGGTTCACGTGACCCTGCTAGCTCCGCCCGTGTTCCGGGAAAATAGCGACATGAGCAAAACGAGAGGTATTCCACCCTCAAACCGAACTCCTATCACCCCAATCAATTGAATCCTATCGCCGGAATCAATTGAGCCACCGTTGGCAGAGGCTCGATCCGACTCTTCTAATCCGTCAAGATGCTGTCTCGCGCCGCCCGCCCGGCACTCCGTGCTGCTGTGGCAGCTCCCGCACGGTAAGTCGACCGAAATTGTAACCGAGGGCTATCAGCAGTCGGGGTGGATGGACTCATTGGCGCGACCGCGGCGGGGAATTGCCATTGGAAACCACCCGGCCGAGCTCTTTTTGGTGGAGGAGGATGGGACAGAGGAATTTGTAAATGCTGATTCGTTTCTTATTGCCTCTAAGCAGGGTTGCCGCCGCCCCCAGCACCGCTGCTGGCTATGCGACACTCCGAGAGATTGAGGGCCGCCTCAAGTCCATCCGCAACATCGAGAAGATTACCAACACCATGAAGGTCGTCGCCTCTACCAAGCTCACCCGTGCTCAGCGAGCCATGGGCACCTCCCGCAACTACGGTCAGACCTCCAATGAGGTCTTCGAGGCTGCCGAGACCAAGGTTCCCGAGACCGAGGAGAAGAAGTCCCTCCTCATTGTCTGCTCCTCTGACAAGGGTCTTTGCGGTGGTATTCACTCCGGTCTGAGCCGTCGCACCCGTAGACTCATCGCCGAGGAGGGTGCCCGCGACCTGGTCATCATTGGCGAGAAGGCCAAGGCTCAGCTGTCCCGTTCAAACGCCAGCAGCATCCAGCTCTCCTTCGCCGGTATTGGCAAGGACGTCCCTACCTTCGCCGATGCCCAGGCCATTGCCGACCAGATCTCTCTTCTCCCTACCGAGTACACCGACGTCAAGATTCTGTACAACAAGTTCATCAACGCCACCAGCTACGAGTCTACCTTCATTGAGGCATTTTCCGAGGAGGCTATCCTTGCTTCCCGTAAGTACTTTATGGATATTAGGGCACTATGAGCGTATTACTGACGCCTTCTTTTTCTCTGTACAGCCAACTTCTCCGCCTTCGAGGTTGAGGATGAGGTCATTGGCAACCTCCGCGAGTACTCCCTTGCTAACTCCCTGTACTGGGCCCTTGCCGAGGGCCACGCCTGCGAGCAGTCCGCCCGACGCAACGCTATGGACGTAAGTTTGAACATCTCATTTTGGCAGCTTCAATTGTTACCGAAGGAGTCTAACGTGGGGAACCCTGTAGAACGCCTCCAAGAACGCCGGTGAGATGATTGGCAAGTACCAGATTCTCTACAACCGAACTCGCCAGGCCGTCATTACCGGAGAACTGGTTGAAATTATTACCGGTGCCACCGCCTCAGCGGACATGTAAACATCGAAAGTGGTTGCAGGGTAGCTGCAGGAATAGACAGAAAACCCTTTCCTTTGTATCAAAGCCATCGGGTGCCCGGCAGCGGCAACCTCAAATGTATCAGATCTCAAATATATCCTCTAGTAAAAGTACCGATGTGAATGAACAGGGAGATAAATTTTTTTTGTTTAATCCTCATATGTTACAACCCGGAATGCCCACCACCCTACTCATGCGCGACCTTTCGACATAATTTGACTACCTCTATTGAACTTTTTGTACTACCCATTGATTGATTCCCAATACCGCAATGACTGCCGACTATTTTCTAAGAAGGAAGAGAGCTCCATCGCAGATTATTCCCAGGAGTCGATGGAGAACAACCGTCCCCTCCCAAGAGCAGACCATGATATATATTTGTTTGAACGTAAACGCCTAGAACCAATGACGAACAACAAAAAAACGAGGGTCTAAATGAACGGGTAGATGTAATAGATAGATGAGCCAGGAGAATAAGGCGAGTTCGACGGCGAGACAACTCAATTACGGTCCTCATCGCGGTCCTCGGCATAGCTCACGGGTCTGACTCGACGATGCTTGGGCCCTGGCCCTTCTTCCTCTGGAGTGAGTTTCTCATTGTCTACCGGCTTTGGGTTTTCTTTCTCGTATGCCGCCCGCAGCGCGATAGCCTGGCGGTCCCACTTCTCTGACTCCTCTGTGTGCCGCAGTATAGCTTCTGCGTAGGCCTTCTTGTTTTCGGCGGCCTGGTCCTCGTAGGGTTTGCGCTTTTCTGGCGAGGCGTTCTTCCACATCTTGGAAGTCATCACTCGGACCTCGTTCGGGGCCGATTTAGTTCTGCCGGGCTTTCGATTCCCTTCACAGAGCTTCCGTGCGTCCTCAAACTTGTCCCTGCTGAACAGCATGTAAGCATTAGCAGCCGGCTTGGTGGGCCGGACTGGGCGATGCCCAAGATGTAATTGCAAATGATGCCAAACTTCCAACTCATAGGCTTCCAGGCGAGCTTTACGAGGGTCTTTTGCTGATTCTTGGCGTTTCTGGAGCAAAAGCGAATCCTTGGGCAAAACGAGCGGTGTCGGGACCTCAATCGGGCCCAGCATCGCCTCCAACACCTCCGAGGCTGCTCGCAACCCTGACATGTATGCGCCATGTACCGTCGCTGGATGCGTGCCGATCGTGTGCTCCCCGGCGAAAAAGAGATTTCCAATTGGCCGTGCCATTACATCGTAATCATCCGGCTGCATTTCGGGGGATGCGGATGAGTAACTTCCTCTTGCAAATCGGTCGGAACCCCATCTGGTAACCATAGCCTCAACAGGATACGGAACATCGGCTCCGAATACACTTCGTAGAATCTCAGTGGCCTCTGCAACCAGAACATCATTGCTGGAATGCTCAGTTTCGAAGCCCGCATCGCCTGCCATTAGAGCAATCAGGCAAGGGACGCCCGTCGTGTTGGACACATTGAACCATTGGAAAAAGCGGCCACGATTCGCTCCATAGTCCCTTTGGTTTGTGCTATGGCGGTTTGGAGGATCCCTCAAGACCCCAAAAATGTGCCTATCAGGTTCCCAGAAGATCTTGTCATAGATCAAAACAACCTTGTTCAGGATGCCGAAGCCGAGACGGCCCACAACGCCTGTCTTCCAAGTTGGAAGAGGAGGATCGAAAGTGATATTGTTCTGCTTGAGCACGCCCAAAGGAATCGTGCAGACAACAGTGTCGGCCTCTACCACGGTGCCATCCTCACATTCAATGGTAGCAGGGCCGTTGTTTGAAGCCTCAGCTCTGTATTTGATACTCTTGACAGGAAAGTTCGTTCTGACATCCAGCGGCTCTGGGCAGTGGACAAGGCCTCGGGCTACGCTTTGATATCCACCCACAATCATGGTATGGTGCCCCTCCCATTCATTTCCAGCATCAATGTCCCAAAGTGGAAGGCTGAGTCGATGGAGGTTGGTGGCATTGCTGTATTCTAAGTTGGCAACGTGCCAATTGAAGAGCCTGAAATCTTGAGGCGTTAGATCAATGAGATGTTTATACTGCGATACTGCATAGTCCAGAACCGAGCCGAGTGTAGCCCCCTCCTGATTGACAGCATCGTTCAGATCAACGTTATCACTGTCAGTAGAACCTGCTTTTGCGTCCCATCCCATGAGCTTGGCCTTTTCGGACGCCTTAAGCGTGGCAGGAACGCCAGGCTGAGTGTGCACACGGCCAGTTACTTTGTCCGATGAGACTGGGACCATATTTACATGTTCTGGGACACTCTGTAGCGAGACCGGGGGGGCATGAGGCAAGGCTGCAGTGGCTTCTTCTGCCTGCATGATGGTTTTGCTGCCATCTCCGGGAGCGTCGCGGCCATCCTCAATGAGATCGCGCTTTCCTTCGATTAATTTGGATGGTTGTGACTTGTGCTTAAACTCGCTCACACGGTCCAAGCAATCGTTGTAGAGTTTTTCTACTAGGAGATCTCGGACCATATCCACTGGCTTGCCATTATTATCGTAAATGGTGGTATCGGCTGTCAAGGCGTGGTAGGGGATCCCAAGCTGTGCCCGTACAAGAATATTCATGGGATTTCCACGATCGAAGCCAGTGATGATCATACCGCCCATCTCGGCTGAGAGTCTCTTGCCTTCAAATTGAGGGTTCTTCTCGGAAGACTGCGTTTTCAACTCGCGAGAATACACTCTTCCCCCAACACGGCTTCGGCCCTCCAGAACTATGACCCTGGGAGGATCCTCCCCTTGATCGTGGAATTGGCTAGCGTATTGGATCCCGAGGCCTTCTAGTTGCCGAGCACATCCTAAGCCTGAAATACCAGCACCAAGGACGACAATTGTCCTTCTTCTTCTTTGAACCTGTGGCTGGTCCCCATTTTGAGCCTTTTCCGAGTCAGCGAATTGAACGCAGCCGAAGTTGATGTATCCGCGTCGTGCCAACCAGTCATAGCACACGCTTGCTGCATCAAACCAGCGAGCATTGGCACAGCCGATAGCTGCCTGACGCGTTACATTGACAGAAGGCCGAATCATCCATTGACGTAGAATGCCGTTTCGGATATTAAGATACGTTGTGACTTGAGCATGGGAGATATGATGTCGGAAGAGCAGATATTCCTCGGGATGTAGCGCATAAGGGTTTAGCCTGGAGGATTCTGCAGCCCAGATGCACTCGGCAGCATACCTCTGAGACGATATATTCCTTGGGATCGAGGCCTTGGGGCGCACATTGAAGGTTAGGCGTTCCACTTCAGTCTGGTAGAATGAAGTTTGGTGTACCGGGACCGTCCTGGGCGCTGATTGATCTGCAGATGTACCTCTGGAAGCATCTGCATCGAAAGGTGTCGTGGCCTTGCTCGACACATTTGAAGATAAGGAGGAGAGTTCGGAGAGTTCGGTCAAGGCTGAGGGCGAGGAGACGGATCGCTCTGCTTCACCTTCTGCTGCGACAGCCAGAACTCCCTTGGTATCATCGCTGACTTCGAGTGCTTCTTCAGCGTCTTGAAGCGCTTCATCGGCATCTTCGAGCACTCCACCGGCGTCTTCAAGGGCGTCATTAACCTGGGGCACTTCATTGGTATCTTCGAGCATCCCATCAGCGTCTTTGAGTTCTCCATCAACTTCCTCAGGCGCCTCATCAACATCCTTGAGCAGTTCATCATCGTCCTCGGATTCTTCGTCGACATCCCCGAGTGCTGCCTCATCCTCGGATGCTTCGTGGGCCTCCCTTAGTGCGGCATTGTCACTCTCCGATGCCACATCGACCTCCCCGAGCGAGGCATCACCAAGCTCGGATACTTCGTCTTCATCTTCAGGGGCTTCGTCGTCATCTTGGGGGGCCTCGTCACCCTCTTCGGATGCCTCATCATCCTCATCGGATTCTTCATCAGCCTGTCTGGACAGCCCATAAAAATCGGGTGCTTCGTCACTATGTCGTGGCGGTCAGGATACAACAAGCTTAACCATGGATACAAGGGAGTCGAGGGGCTGTGCAGCATGGCGGTGAACTCTTAGTTTACAAATGCATGATATTTCATCTTACCTGCTCATATCCAGATCCGACAGGATATCGGAGTCATCCTGACTTGGGCTGTCAAGGTCCATATCCTCAGTCCACACGACTATTTCCGGAGCGACCTCGGACGACAGGTTCGAAGACGAACTCTGCCGCGAGAGGTCGGGCGCTATGAGTTCATTGGGACTGTGGCTAGATATCTGATGGCTGGACTTTGGTGTCACTGGCTGGCGCCTTGATACTGAGCGAGAGGCGCCCCTTTTCGGGCGTGCTGGGCCCTCCGCCGCGTCCCTCTTAGCCGACCTGCGAAACCGAAGAGCCGGACTCATGGCACGCCCAATTGGGAGACGTATTGATGATCAATCGCTGTGGTATAAGGCAGGATGGAGGAGACGGCGCTCGGCCAGGGACGATATGTTCGATGTCTCGGGAAGCGCTATGAGATACGGCCATTCAAACAACGCGAATGCATAATATAACAAGCCAAGAAGACACACCCCGAACTGCTACAGCCAGTCAGCATTCCTGAGTTCGAGCCAAGTCCATCGGGATGGTTATACTGACCAGGACGTCGACGATGAGGGTACTAAAGTGGGCCTCGACTTTTTTGGCGAGCGGGATTAAGGATAAGAATGGTACGATGAGGAGGAAAAGAAAAGGAAATAGATATGAAGAAGTTACGGCTCATACATGAAGAGTTTTTCCAAACAGATTAATGGCGGGCAGGGAAAGAAAAACGGCCTGACGTGCGCTCAGTGTAAGGCAATTACACGTTAGCTTTTTTCCCTTGTACCATGGGGATATGGCAAGTTAACGCCATCGTGCGAACAGCGACATTCCTTCCCTCCCCAGAAGCCCAGATGGCCGCTAATTCCTCGACATGGACGCTGGGGCGACCGCCAATGTGGCCGGTCACGTGCGACGACGCATCTCGGGTCCACCGAATTTGCTGTGCGGGTGTGGAGCGTACTTGGCTTCTCCATTTGAACCTCGAAGGGATCGAGGCAAACATATCGTTGTCATTTGACGAGTGTATTCAATCTTAATTATTGACCAATTCTTTAAGCTATTGCCTCTGGATATTTTGACCTTTGCGGTCCCCGTTTTCCTGACACCCACTTGGGTCAAGGGTTCAGCCTTGTGTTCAAATACCGAATCCGCGTGTTTACGATCGGAAACGAAACGCTTGCTACCATTCGTTCTTTCTCTATTACTGTCTGAGGACACGCTGATCCTTCGTCCCTCCTGTGATAGCCCTGGCTCGTCAACGGGCAGCCGGATAAGCCACCAGGGGCCTCTCTAATCAAGTTTCCTTCTCGTCCGGGACCGGGTGCAAGGCCAGCACGTATGTTTGATGAGCCAGATGAAACTCTCAAGTCGAGCTTGAGGCCTCTCCTCCAAGCGCAAAAGAATCCATCTCGATTGCTGCATCCATGATTCTATTCCCACTGATGATTGATGTAGTGCATATTACGATCCGTTTTCGGCCTGGGGGTATGGATGTCAGCATCATGTTGCCATCTGCGGGCACGTGAAATGGATGAAGACTTACTCTCTTCTTGCTTTGCTATAAATCGAAGTGCCGCAATCTCCGTAAACGTGATACCGCCAACGAACACTACAAAGACCGTCTGTCTATTCCCACTTCCGGAAAGGAGAGCTCTTGCTTTTACAGCCTTGTCCTCTCCTTTTTGAAGTTCATAGAATGTTTGGCCCCGCACGTGTTTTACAGCATCGTCAAAGCCATGCCAGCCTTGTGTAGCGGCCCCCGACGAGAGAGCAGCGTTGGCGACGTTTGCGCCACCTCCTTTGGTTACGCTCAATAGGTACTGCTTTTGCAGGATGCATTGGACGAGACGGATAGAAAGTGGCGCATAACCGCTGTACACATAAGCAATGTCGTTAGGGTCGTCCTCTTGAACCTCGTCCACGATTAGACGTAGCTGCTTTCGCAGGTATGTATAATTCGTTTTCGCCCCGCCGCTAGGCCCGGCGTTGCCCGTCATTGGTATCATCCCCGCCAGAGGCGATGAGCGTGAAAGGAAGAGTTGTAATTTTTCCAAGCTGTTCAAAGTGAGGATATGTTGGTGGCCGTAACCTTGGAGTATCAGGCGTTTGAAGTGGTCAAATTCCTTTGGCTTGATACCACCTGATATGCATGAGTAAACGCACAGTAATCTCAAAACCTCTCGTATCGGTGTGTCCCGGGCTACGAGCTCTTCGATTCTTTCGGCCTGGGTCGAGGGGTCGGCGCCAGCGGCGATATTCTGCTGCACCTCTAGTAATCCCTTGAATTGATCCGACCGTGTGTGCTTGATTATCTCCTCCGCTAGTCCTGTGTGTATCCTAGCGCTTTGGTGCTCTTGCTGGTAGCCAGGAAGCTGGCCCACGAACTCTTTGAGCTCTGCAATTGTCTTGGTCTTGTGCTTGGTCTCGTAATCGGATTGCACTTGCTGCAACCGACGGGCGACCTTGTTGAGAAGACTTCCTACAATAGCAAAGTTTGCATCGCGAAGCTGATCGTAGAGTTTGTCACTCGAGTCGAGCTGGATTGTTCGTTTTCGGCTCTGCGGTGTCGCTGCCGAGGACTGAGACTGAGCGGGGGCACCGACGATTGCAGTATCGACTTTCGTCTGATTATTCTGTATCTCGAAAACCTCATCGATGAGGCCTTCGTACGTAAGCTGGGTAAGAAGAGGCGTGACGAAGTCAACCTCGCGATCAATAATGATAACACTGTCATTTGTCGTGCTTGGCGTTAGGCCCGCGCGGTTCGCTTCGCTGGAGTCCCCGCCTGCCAGCAGTTCTTGTCGCATCCGTCCCAGAAGATCGGCAACCCTCTTGGCGTTATCTCCCTTTCCAATGATCCGGGGGAATAGCCCATGATTCTGCTGGATTTCCATGAGAGCCTTGGCCATCAAGAAATTGGGAGTGATGTCCTTTGAGAGATACAGGTCCCGGAAAGAGTCGTTCAGCTCGAGAGATAGCACATCATTCTCCAGGGGAAAGAACGACAAGGGCAATTCTGCAACGTTCACGTCGCCCAAAACACCTGATTCCTCGAGTATTTGATCGGATAGGAGTGTCCGGCGGGGCACCCAGAAGATGTGAAATTCATGACCAGTCTGGCTCTCACGTTGAACTCGTTTGATTTGGGCTAACAAACAGCAGATGTTAGCACCTAAACGCTTGGATATGCCTCACGCGACCCCATTGGTCTGACTTGAGTCTCATTGATTGCGACGCAACGACAGAGGAGAGCCCTGCGGTTCGACGAGAAGCGATAGGCGATGGTATGGAATGGTCGGGGGATCTCGATTCGGTGTCAAAAGAGGGCTGGACTGACCTGCGACTGACTCGGCATGCCTGCCGGACTCGCCTCTCACGATGAAAACGACGTTGCGCTGGCTCGTATCGACATTGTTGTTTTCAAGTACAAAGAACTTATCGACCCCGTATTCCTGAAGCGCGGTAGCCTTTACAATGGTGCCGATCGGGCCGACCAAACTGCGATCAAAGACAACATTCTTCTTCCCTCGAACCTACTCAAGCAAGGAACCAACGTCAGCTTGCTACGCTTGCTCCCATAGCCCACTCACGTCCAGGGTCATTGCGGTCTTACGTACACCCTCAAGCATGTATAGGAGGTCCTTCCGGGCCTTGTTGCGCACTTGTTCAGTGCTGAATTCCGTGCGAGGAGCCATGGCGGCTCATCGCAAGAGGTGCGGTTTGGAGAGATCGGAGGGTTGGAGGTTGCGCTGTATCGGCATGTGGAATTGGAGCTGCGTTGGGGAGCTGGAGGATGTCGTCCATTCATCTTAGGCGGTGAAATGGGGGACCCACGGGAGCGGGACCCGGGGAGCTTACGGGGCTTGCCAGAGAGAGAGAGGCCATGATCGCCAGCGAAGCTTTTGGTAAACCTCCGCAGCTGCTTCATGGTGAAATTATCGAGATCTTTTATTTCCGGGGCGCATATTCAAAGGCTATTCGGAGATCCTTGGCGTGGCATTTGAAATGGCTGGCCTGCGAGGGCGATATAGCGGACCTGGCTTGTTCTAAGAGCTACAGGTAGCAGTTAGCTAGGGAAGTAACTGATAGCAGCACCCCACAGTGAGCTAGGCGCTCGACGTCATCGAGCGCAGAAGGCACATGAGGTTTTGCTTGCTCCTGGCTCGTGAAGCGTACCTACCTACCTAGAGACAACCCGTCGTCCAAGACGGCTTTCGTGCATGGATATAAACCATGTGGTATAATTTAATCATTCAGAAACTTTGAGCATTTGCATTCACTTTCATAACGCCTCTGTGTTCTCGTAAATCTCATTGATGATTGTGAGCAACCCAACGCGCTCTCTAGCCGCCTCTAGCCGTCCAACGCCGGCGAAGGTCATTTTCCAATCGCAACCACCAGCGCCCAAGGTATAGTAACAGGAAACCGAGGATTTTCCAAAAGACTTTACGATCCTCCCCCCTTGTAGACCCTCGAATGTGGAGGAGAATAACCTGCCAAGCCCTCTCTTCAATCTGCTCGATGCCCATGTGAGAAGAGCTCTCGACCAGAACCCTATTGGAAGGGGGCTTGGAACCGGCTACTGGTTGCAAAAGGACCCAAGCTCAGCCGTCTGGTTTATGATATCTCCAGCAGACCACCGCTGCAATGTACAAGTGAAAGCGCATCGTGATGGATGGGATAGCGCTAAAAGCTGGGTTGTTGCATAGGTCTCGACCATGGTGAAGGCCTATACTGTATTGTCGTGATATAAGAATTCGATATCGCGTGGGCGTAAGGTGTTCCCTCGAACGAACTCCTCATCACCCGGTGGGCGCTCGTTCTTGGTGTTGCTGGTGAGCATGCTCTGTATGCTCATGCAGACGCTTTGGGCGCTCTGGACTGGGCTCCATCCCTGGCTGCCCAGCAGATCCAGGCAAATGATGCCGTTTGAATATATGTGCGGGTGGATAGGAATCGGTCGGTCGGCTTGTTTTTCAAATGTCACCTCCGGTGGTTCTGCGGCGTGTGAGATTGAATTGAATGTGTGTGAAAGGAGGGGGAGGAAACTGGATCGTTGGCGGGGCTGCGCACCTATGGGATACGATTTGGAGAAGCGAAACTTCAGCCGGTACACCCCATCCTTGTATATGGGATTTTCATCGAGGACCCGGATGTCAAAAAGCCAGTCGCTCAGCTCTGAGCCTGCTGACCCCGACTGAACAAGTTCTATGCCTGGGGGGAGGCCATCGTTGTTGATCTACGTGGGGCCAACGGCCCTCTGGTAAGATTTCTGATGCGCCCCCTGGGAGAAGAAAGGGGACTTGCTTACCTTCCCAAGCTCCTTCATGAGCCGCTTGGCGCTCATATTTGTTGCCATGGTGGGCCACAGGTGCGCCGATGATGGATGCGCACAGGATGTGGTGGTGAGAATGATGAGGTGGAACAGGTTGGAGCTTAGGTAGCTTCAAGGGCCTGTTGGTGCAAGTGGCTGGGCGGCTGTTGTCGAGTCCCGCGACGAGCTGCCGTCTCCGTCGACGCCTGGCCAGGCCTCAGAGGGGCAAGCAATGCCAAGCAGATGAGCCCCCCAAAACAAAGCATTCGTCAAGGAAAAGGGGTAGGTTTAGAGGGCATAGGAAAAGGATACTGTCCCAGACAGCTGGATAGGTAGTATTGAGCGCGCGATGGTTTGCCTAGAGGCGCTCCGTGTCAGTGAAAACCAGCGCTTCCATCACGGGAAACTGCTGGCTCCATTTCTAGGTGTAATTACGTACCAATGACAAGAAGGCTAGGAGAGATGTTACACCAGTCCTTAACAACGCTTGTCTGCTTTGGTTGAACTCAATGGACAAACTAACGCAGTCGATGATTGAGCAAGCTTGGCAGTTTATTAATAGACGTGTGCAATCAGAATGGCCGTTCTGCAGGTATTCAACCAAGATGCGCAATCCCGATATCCTACGTCGTACGCCCGTAGCCCCAAGCACATGTCTCAACCAGCCCGGTGGTGCTTACGTGTTAGTTGCCAGATTTCAGCCCCAATTTCAGCTCCTGGAGGCGGCTCAAGGCTGGTTTGTCTGATAACGAAGAGGCGCTGGTTGGACGAAGCTGATTCGACGGAATCCATAGATGCGCACTACGTAATAAATTGGGATGACACGGCTCAGCCATCAGCAACGCAAGTAAGTGCCCATGGCAGCGCCACAGAGGCCATGGCGATCGGGGTCCCCATGCACGCAACATATGTGAGCTTTGGGCAGGTTGACGAGCAGCAGTGTGGCTCAAGAGCGAGACGGTGCAACATTCCTTCCTTCAATCAGCCCCTCCCAGCCCTGCAGACATTACCCAGAGACTAGCAAGGTTTGTCGCTGCCCGGTTACTCCTATGAGGAACAGGGCCGTCGCTAGTACCGCTCCCCGTACAGGGGAAACTGACACCCAACCCACCAGCCTGTATCCGAGCATTCAGTGAGTGGACAGCTCAGCTCTGGCGCGTCAGTGGGCTATGGGTACCGCCGAAGCAAGCTGAGGTACCTGGTCAGTACCTTCACAGGAGGTAACCCACGGCTTGTGGCAGTCAGCCTGCATGGTCTGTCCTCCCCCGCCACTCCCCTTGATCCTTTTTAGTCTCGACCTACCTATCCATATAACTTCGCCCAACTCCGCCTATCTTTCGCTTCGTCACGTTCGTCGCAAGCGTCCTCCCTTCTTTGCACCCTCCCATCGTTGTGGCCGCTGCTGCACACGACGCTCTCGAGTCGGAAGGAAGCGCAAAAGCCGCTTCCCTTTTACCCCGCCAGACGCCGCGTCACTTGTGAAACCCTTCTTTACCCCGCGGAAAACCACACTATCACAGCCATGAGTTGTAAGTCAACAGCAGAACCATATACCCAGCGAAGACTGGGGATTGGCTCCATGACGAGGATGCGAGAAATGATGGCGATGTCGAAGAGCTCGAGCGTTTTTGGTCTTTCAATGGAACGAGGCTAACATTTGCTGCCCACCACTAGTCTCAGGCATTATGAGCCGCCTGCAGGGGCAACCTGAAAGCTACGACAAGAAGTACGCATAGAATCCACATCGATAGCCCCGACATGAAGAGGAAACATGAAGCTGACGCAAATGTTTATCAACAGAGCCAAATACAAATTCGGCCGAACCCTTGGTGCTGGCACTTACGGCGTGGTGCGCGAGGCTGAGGGCCCGACTGGCAAGGTCGCCGTCAAGATCATCCTGAAGAAGAATGTAAAGGGCAACGAGAGGATGGTCTATGACGAGCTTCAGATGCTCCAGAGATTAAAGCACCCCCATATTGTCAAGTTTGTCGATTGGTTTGAGTCCAGGGTTCGTTCATCCAGCTTGGTTACCACTACTCCTTCCGTGCTCTGAGGCTGACTGAAGCTCCCTTTGTAGGACAAGTTCTATATTGTTACCGAGCTTGCCACCGGCGGAGAGCTTTTCGAGAGAATTTGCGAACAAGGAAAGTTTACCGAAAAGGATGCTTCCCAAACGATTAAGCAGGTCCTTCACGCCGTCGACTACCTCCACAAGAACGAGGTTGTCCACAGAGGTATGAAACTTTGACCGTGGCGCTACATTCGCATGTTGCATGTAGTGAGGACTTATGAGGCTAATACTTACAACCTTTCACTTAGATCTCAAGCCCGAGAACCTGCTCTATGTGACTCGAGACCCCGATTCTGAAGTCGTCCTGGCTGATTTTGGTATCGCTAAGACGCTGGACAAGAAGGAGGAATCTCTCCAAACAATGGCTGGGTCATTTGGATATGCTGCCCCCGAGATCATGGACCGCAAGGGCCACGGAAAGCCTGCGGACATGTGGTCCATGGGTGTCATCACCTATACCCTTCTCTGCGGTTACTCTCCTTTCCGAAGTGAGAACCTCCGAGACTTGCTTGAGGAGTGCACCACTGGCTCCGTTGTATTCCACGAGAGATACTGGAAGGACGTCAGCAATGATGCCAAAGACTTCATCATGCACCTTATCCTCCCCGAACCAGAGAAACGTTGGACCAGTGAGGTATGCACACCAATCTTCAGATGACCCCCTGGCCAACTCTAAATTGCCCATTCACTAACTTGTCATTCCTCGAATAGGAAGCCTTGGGTCACATTTGGCTCAGCGGCAAGACCGCTACCGACCACGACTTGCTGCCTGAGATCCGCCGTGCTCGTGAAGCACGTGCAAAGCTCAAGCACGCCATTTTGGCGGTCAGTCTGAAGAAGAGAATCGCGGCTCTCAAGGCAGATGAGTCCGACTCAGATGAGATGGGCGATGCCGAGGAAGGGATTCCTGCTGTTGGCGGTGAGAAGAAGCTGAATGTGCTCAGAGAGAAGGTCAAGGATGGCGCCGTGTTCCGTGAGGTGGTTCTGGGCGCAGTCCGAGACAAGAGGGCAAAGGAAGAGGCAGCCGCAGCTGAGGAGCAAGAGATGGAGGAGGCAAGGAAACGCAGCCAGAGCCAGAGCCATCAGTGAGGACCCTGTATGGTGGGAGATGACTGTGGCCGCCTGGAAAAGTTGGATGAGAACCCCAAAGCGTTGGGCCCTCGTTGGCGCTTAAGTGAATTGAAATGAGGTATAATGCGAAGCTCCATCTCTCTATTTTATTTGTGGTTTGTTTTGTTTCAAGGGATCAAGGCTTTGAGGATATGTTAGGCGAGAGAGTACAACAGCACAATTGCAGAGCTGTACAATTC